AACATTCATGTGCACAGCTCTCAATTTCAACCAAATCTCCTTTGCAGTCTTTAAATTTGCAACATTTAGAAATTGTTCATCATCTAAATTCAAGATGAGATAAGCCATCTTATCTCATCTGCAAGTGTTTGAAGCTGACTTTTCTGATCAGCAGCTGCAAACACTTGTGGTGGATTTTCTACGATATACCACAGCTCTTTTGCTTTAAGCAAACATTCCATTTTAGCAGCCCACACAATGTAATTTTTCTGGCCTAAACGAGGCACAGACCTTTGCTTAAATTCCATTTCAGCTATTCTACTAATTCTGCCTTGTTCTTGTATTTTCAAAACACAGGCAGTTTCTTCCAGCTTTAAATTACAATGCAGTCCTTAGTAAGCTCTGGGCCCATAACCTGTTAAAGAATTTTAATTTCTCTGTTGGTGAAAAATAAATCAGAAGCTCTCACAGTTGACTGCATTTAGCTGATTCAAATAAATTTCTTCATATTCATATTAAAATATTTACAATACCATACATTCTTCTTTACAGCAACATAGCTCAATGAAGACTTCTTACAGAGAGATACAGAGACAAATCTGAGACTGAAAATTCAGCTTCTAACTCAATACTTTTGCACAGATTCAGTAGCACTTTTTTTACATTGGCTGACTGAGTTACCACATGACTCTTCCTGCTCATGAATATTCTAACAATTTGCCTGTAAGCAAGAACTGGTGGGACCTAAAATAGAGAAGTACTAGAAAATGAAGAATCTAAAATACTCTGGGACTTTAGAATTCAAACTGACAGACGCCTGCCACACAACACCTCAGAAAGAGAAAAAAGTCTAGATGGTGGATGTGGCAGTACCTGGAGAAAGAACTGGAGAAGATTACAAAATACAAAGACTGCACAAAGAAATGGAACAACTGTGGCAAAAGAAAGCAAAGGTAGAACCATTAGTCATAGACACTTTGGGTGCAATTGCTAAACAACTGGAGCATGATGTGAACCTCATCAGCATTGACAAAATCCACATCAGTCAAATGCAAAAGGCAGCTTAGCTTGCGGAACAGCTTCCATCCTGCAATACCTCTAACACTATCAAATACCAACAACTGCCTACCCCAGGTCCTTGGGAAGAACTCGATGTATGGATAAAAACGCCAAATCGAGTCATCTAGCTGACTGTGCACTAAACCATAATAATAATTACAATAATTCCAGGACTTGCTAAACTCTGCAAATATTAAATCCATTCCCCGTAACTCAGCTCATAAAGATCTACAGTAGATTAGTTGTTCCTGGAATGGAAGATGGCCTACCTAACAGGGTTGTTGTTAATTACTCTAGCAGGATAATCATGCATATGAGCCTTTTTGAACAGTGATAAAAATTCTTATCACCATCCCCTCCCCTGATGGTTAGATCCAATAAAGAGATTTTACAACCCGGCTTGCAGCCAGGCTGTGGTGCACACTAGCAACCTGAGGAAGCCCATGGAGGGAGTAGTTACTGTGGATGTCACAGAATATACCAGCAGGATTTTTACATCAAAGGTGCAGCCATGCTCTCCCCACCCCAATCCATCTAATATCATGACAATGATTTTCATTCCATAGATACTGATGCCATGACAACTATGATGTCATTCCTCTGCTCAAGAAAACACGTCCCCTTCCTCCTGCTAGAGTAATGGGTCCAGCAGGATCCAATTCAGTTCTCCCCCCCCCCAGCCATCTTGACTTTCCCTGTGCCTCAGTTTACCCTCTTCCAAGAAAAGCATCAGACCTCTTGACTCCAGATTTAGAGCCCACCTGTCTGTGGAGAAAGGAAACCATTTCAAAGTGGTTTCATTAGCCCCTTGAGAGTCTGCCCCCCCCTCTATAGGGAGCGAAGAGACCTTCACAATGCATGGTGATGTTTTTCTTCTTCCTTTTCAGTTACGGGTGAGTCACTGACTTGTATCTATTACTGACTTCCAGAGGAGACTCACTTTTTAAAGGTTACTCAGCAATATAAAATTATAGATAGAAGGTGAAAGAGATTGACAAGAAGGGGAGTTGGAGATCGGGGCCCGTCCTTAACAGTTCTTGGAGAGCTCTGCTAATCTTTGGAGGACTTGTGTTTTTTAAGCCTATTTTAGGGGTCCCATAAGGACAACACACTAATGGCATTTCAGCAATTGCATTTCAAGAAAAGGCCCTGGTCCCCCTCCCCCCAAAAGGAGAGCCTTGGGGGTTGTATATGACCAATGGCTCTCCTCTTCCCCAGAGAGAGTTATTCATCTGGAGTTCAATTGGCTTTAAACAACATGAATAAATATCTGAGCTTCCACAAGCTTGGAGAATGAATCTGCACCCTCGTCCTTCACCCAAGCTACAGGTATTTGCCAGTATCGCAAACATGAATCAAATATTATTGAATGGGTAAAACAAATTGGGCTTCTCCAATTCAGCCACTTTCCATGCAGCCTTAGACTGCTGTTCTCGGAAGAGGGGAAACCAAATAAATTTCTTTCAACCTGAAATGAGACCCATTATATGTGAACAGTTGTGAGAAGGATCTATAAACACTGTAGTTAAGGTGAAAATTATGGATGTTTTGAAGAGAGTGCCTTTATGGAAGAGAAAAGGCTGAAAAAACTGGGGAAGGAAAATATTATACAAAGGGCTGTTGATTAATCTATTGCAAGGTTATGGTTGATTGTAGCTGAATAAAAGGCCTTTTCTGTTTGTTAAATGTAACAGGAGAACCTGGTTTATTTATCTCAGAAATATATGTGGTCACCAGTCTCTTGTCTAGCGACTGGATAACACAATGTAAAACAAAACACTGACTTGCTGCTGCTGCATGTGAAGCACCATTGATAAAGTGTTTATAAGCTACACATTCCACTGTTTGCAGTGAGGTGAACAGCACATTAATTTGTTAGTTTGATCATGGCTTAAAGGATAAATCAGTTGGATGAGTTTGTATAAATATTAAGCCATAAACCATGTTTTACAGAAAGCTACGCTGGCTGGTTTCACCAACAGAAGTATTTTTGTTACATAACCCAAGTCAATGAACTGTTGGCCGTGATAATTAGTCAATTTCATGATATATTTTGTGATATTGATGCCAGCTCCAAATCTTATCCCCATGCAGGTCAGAGAAGGACTGGCTGCCACAGGGGGCAATGGCTAAGCCCAGCATTCCCACCACCAGCAAACTCTCTTTACCAAAATGTATAGGAAGAAGCAGCAGTGTGGATACTCAGGGGCTTCGTATTCATCCCTCCCTTTCCATCTTTACAAAATCATCTCTGGATGATTTGTTGCTTTATACTGAAGGAAAGCTGGTGGGATGAAGCATCAGTGACTGCGAGGATTGACAGGGACAACTTATTCCAAGGAGGAGGAGGAATGTAAAAATAGCACACGCCTGTTCCAAAGCTTATAGTATATATTTCTGATTTTAGAAGGAAAAGATCCCAGACATCAGTTATAGTTCCATGTTGTAATCATTGTAGAGAGCAAAATTTTAACTGTTATTTTAGTTAAACTATACAATCAGTTTGGTCAGATATTATTCATTCATCTCAGTCCATCTTAATCTGGGTTTTTATAATCTAGACAAGCTTTGGATAATATAGTGTACATTTAAAGTATATTTGTTAACACTGATTTGTTAACACTAACTCAAGATAGTTTAAATTACATCATATTAAATAAGGTCCACAATAAACTAAGACTGGCAACTAAGGCCAAAAATAATAACAACAAATTTCTGTCAATGTGTAAGGAACAAGGAGCAAGTCAAGGGAACAACAGGTCCACTAATGGGAGCAAATGGCAGGAAGGTGACCAGCAGCAGGGAGAAAGCAGGACTGCTTACGGGTCTGTTTTTACACAAAAGGAAGAAATAGCCCAAGGGAGGCAGAACAGGTGCACTATTCAAAATAGGCAAGGACATGGTGAGAGAATGCCTATCCACCCTGCATGAGTACAAGTCACCTGGACCAGAGGGTTTCCACCCCAGGGTTCTGAAGGAGCGGACAGACGTGATCTCGGAGCCACTGAGTGTAAGAATCATAGAATCAAGATCACACAAAGTATTAGTACCGCTTAATAAAACCCTAGTGAGACCTCATCTGGAATACTGCAACCAATTTTAGTCATACTACAAAAAAGATGTTGAGACTTGGGAAAAAGTTCAGAGAAGAGCAACTAAGATGATCAAAGTCCTGGAAACTAAAATGTATGAAGACTGATTGCAGGATTTGGGTTTGGCTAGTCTAGAGAAAAGAAGGGCTAGGGGACATGATAGCAGTATTCCAGTATTTGAGGAGCTGCCACAAAGAGGGGGTCAAATTATTCTCCAAAGCACCAGAGGGCAGGACAAGAAACAATGGTTGGAAACTGATCAAAATCAACCTGGAATTAAGGAGAAACTTCCTGACAGTGTGGACAATCAACCAGTGGAACAGCTTATCCCCAGAGATCAGTGGAGATTTTCAAGAGGAGACTGGACATCCACCTGTCTGAGATGGTATAGGTTCTCCTGCTTGAGCAGGGGGCTGGACTAGAAGACCTCCAAGGTCCTTTCCAGCTTCTATTCTATTCTATTCTATTCTGTTCTATTCTAATTCTCTGTAGAATCAGGCTACAGCATAATAAATTGACAAAAGTGAAGAGGGTCTGAATACTTTCTGAATATGCGTATGGAGAACTTGGCAAAACTGTTTTTTGTAAGTCAGTCTTCTGCAACTCAGACACAGCTCCTGGGATGTAAGGGAGACATCCAGTTTTCCTGCCAACAGTACAGAAACAATTTGCCACTATCATTTTCTAGGATGTTTTCTTTCCAACTCAGCCTGGTATTGCTTGGTATTCCTTGCAAACTTGTTTTCAACTTGATAATAAATCATCCTCGAGTAATATTATCTGAAGAGATACAGTAATATCCAACTAATAACTCCAACACTAGTAGGAAGTATAACATTGGGGAAACATTTACTTTTAAAAAACGGAGAGGAAAACAAATATTTACTTTTATTATTCGGTCAGCAAGCACAAAAATAAATTCTGAGACATACTTAAAATTGCCCTCATCATTGTTTTTACAATGGAAAGCATCCCACACATTTGCAAACAAAAATTTGATTTTTATTGTCTTAAATACAAAATGTTAGACCTTTCCTTCATCAAACATCCATTTGACTTTAGTAATAGAGCTGTGTAGTGCTTGCCAAATCCTTGGCCATGGGGCACAGCTATCCTTTTAAATGTTTCTGAGAAGAACACCCTTTGACAAGGACCAGATGCCATTTCATCACCAGCTTTCTTATTCCTCTGCTGCAAGTTTCCAGATACTGATCCAGAGTAAACAGAGGAAGAAGACTGGAGTTGTCCTTCACTGTGCTTTGCATAGCTGCATGTGTATTTACTCTGCATTAATTAATCACACCTGCTTTGCTTGGGCAAAAAAACTGGACTTTAGCCAACCCCTGTAAAATGAAAATAATTCAGGTTAACATATCTCTTAGTAATGAGTTCTCCAAATTTAATAGGTCAGGAAAAGTAGAACCAACCCAGAGAAATAAATTCATCAATCTATATCTATAATTAACAAGGTTTGATAGTTACCTTTTCTGTTAAATATTGTAGTCCAAGCCAGATTCCCATATTCAGATAAAACAAGAAATTAAATTCAAACCATAAATTTCTTCCAAAAATATAGCTTATCAAAAACTGATAAACATGGTTACCTCTAAACAGTCAATGCTTCTCTCATTTATCTCTTTAATCACAGTTTGAATTTCACTGGTAATCTTACATGGTATATTGTGGTATAAAATCCAACTCGAAACTTTTCTAAGGGATAGAAGAATGCCCTTCAATATTTCTTGACTCCAACCTTCTGCTTTTCTTCACAAGGCAACTGTTGACAGTTTATTTTAGCCAGCTGGCTCTGCTATAAAACATACCACCTTTGAGGTGGTATCTCCGAGCACATTTATTTTCCACTTCCAGGTAATGAGACTTTGGACGCACAAAGTTCTGGTAGGTAAAAAGAACACTTACTTGAAATGGAACTCAACAATTTACCATATGTGGAATGAACATAACCTTCACAAGCCCCATTCCCAAGAGCTGTGCATTTTGATATATAACATGACCTCATGATTCCTATGGGCTTATTTCATTAATGAAAAGTAAATTAATCTAGATTGTCCTCTTTTGTGAGTCTGGCCAGAAGGAAAATAAAAAGAGGACACCATCGCTCACACCTTAAATGAGAAACCCTGTCCTACTGTGTATATGCTGCAGAAATGTAACCAGACAGTTTTCTAGATATTTATATTGTAGCACTTTTAAAAAAATAGAATTAAAAAATATTTTAGGTTTTAAGGAGAAGGGAAAAATCTGTTGAAAACAAAAGTGCAAGCAACACAATGAAGGCAAATAATGCTGGGCTCAGAGGAAGGCTGCAAATAGTTGCAGATGGACCATCTCAGATCTCCAGGGATTAAATCAGCACTGAGCTAAGAAAGTGCAATGTCTTCATCTTCAAAATGGTTTCTTCAAACATACTCTAGTCTTCTGAAGGCAGTGTTTGCTGATATTTCAAATAATTCAAGTGATCAGGAAAAGAGCACAATCAACAGGTAGAGGCTCCATCTGAAAAGTATTACAGAGATCTGTTCAATATTAAATTTTCAAAACCAGAAATGGAAAATATATATCAAAACCCTTTGCCTGTTTCCATCACCTCCATTAATAACAAAGCACAATTTTGTCTCTAGGAAAGGTCCATACTGGATTGCTTTTGGGGTGTTTTGTTGATTTTTTTTTTTAATCAAGTTGGAAAAATATCCAGAAGATCTAATCACAGGATCCATCTTTCCATCCATCTCGCCATCGTTGGTCTACAAGACAGCAGTCAAATTCAGGCTTCCCCAGTTTCTTATTTACTTCATTATGAATCCGGCAAAACCACTGTGTCAAACCACGTCTGCTGCTGGCATCAGGTTGATTTTTTCGTATTCTGTGTCAAGGGAAACCAAAGGCACCTTTACTTCTTTGTTAAAAGATACACAAGTCTGCTTAATTTTCACAGAATAAACAAGTCACAGAGATAGAGTTTCTACTGTGCTAAAGTTAAATCATCTCATAGCAGAAAATTAATTCCTTTAAGGCAAAGGATATATAAAATTCAGGCATTCAAAACAAAACAAAACAAAACAAAAACACAAACCCTCACCTATTCCTGAAATCTTCTCCACATTCATCACAAGGAAAAACTTTAGAAAATAATTGGATAAACTGTATCATTTCTTGCTGCTGAATTTTACTGGGCCGGTCAGGATAAAATGCTGCCATCGTGTGTAGAAACGACCATGAACATCTCCCTAGTTCTTCTCTGTCTAGGGGGCAATTAGAGGTTGATTCCTGGACACTTGTTTCCTAGTTAGAAGAACACAGCATGTGAGAAAAGGCAGACAAATTGCCTATACATTATGCAAACATTACTGTTTACTTTTTACTGTAGTTTGTTACATAAACCACAATTAGCTAGGAACATGCAACATCTTAAGCAAATTTCACAATATAGGAGATTTTTGATGGAGCCTGAAGCAGGTTCTCAGAAGATTAAGTTTGACAGGCAAGTTTACTTCCTCTTCCTTCTCCTCTGATTCAGGAATCTCTTCTCACAGTCCTGTTCCAGGACCCCCCTATGTGGGAAGTCACCCCCCCCCAGAGAAAGAAATATTAAAAAGGCAGAATATTATATTTCCTCAAAAGATCTTATAAAGGCAGAAAAGCATGCCCAGTTTTTCTTAATAGCCCCAAGTCTCCCTCCCTCAAGCAGAAACCAGGTCTGTAGAAATGCAGATATGACAATCCTTTCAGAAAGATAGGCACCAGGAAGCTTAGGGCTGATGGGATTAGAAAGACAAAGATCCCTAGAACTAACAACCCCTCACCCCCAAAAATCCAACACAGGACATAGCCATCAATCACAGTCCCAGGGAAGCAGGATATGACCTTTAGGACATAATAGAATCAACCCACCACCATCAGAATACCACAAAGGCATACTGAACCTCAGGTCAAAGTTCATGCCATAGGAACAATTCCAAACACAAAAGCCCAAGAAGGTATAAAACCCACCACTCCCTGCTCCATGTGGTCAGCTTTCTCAGAGCCATGCTTCTGTCTGGCTTTGCTCTTCAGTAAACTACAACGTTCTTTCTAAAGCAGTCTCCATTTTGTTTATTCCCAGCTTGGATTGGACCGATGAAGATTTTTCTTTCAACACCTACATCCCCCTTTAAGAATCCTCCTGAACAAAAGCCACAAGCAAAAGCTGATTCCCACAGCAATATCATCTTCTTCTTCTTCTTCTTCTTCTTCTTCTTCTTCTTCTTCTTCTTCTTCTTCTTCTTCTTCTTCTTCTTCTTCTTCTTCTTCTTCTTCTTCTTCTTCTTCTTCTTCTTCCTCCTCCTCCTCCTCCTCCTCCTCCTCCTCCTCCTCCTCCTCCTCCTTCTTCTTCCATATCGAACGTTGGCGATCATGTTAGCGATCCTGTTTTTATCAGCAGCCACACGAAAAAGTGCTGCTGAGTTTTGTCTAAACCAATCCCTTAGATTTTGAAGCCACAATGTTCTTTTTCTGCCTGGACCTTGTTTGCCTTCAATCTTTCCCTGGAGGATTAAATGGAGTATGCCGTATTTTTCTGGGTGTCACATCACGTGTCCAAAATATTCTAATTTTTGTTTTTTAATTGTTTTGATGATTTCCTGTCAGAATCCAATTATATTTCATCTTTAATTATCAAATATAGAAACTCCCAATTCTGCCTTCTCTGGATTCTGCCATAAGAGGGAGAGAAGCGGGAGAACAAAGGGGCTTTATGGCCCTCACTTCCTTCAGTACACTTCAAAGAGCTGAATGCTGAATGTGTGTTTATTGTAACCTCCAAACGTTAGCATACCAAAGAAGGGTATTTGCCTTTCATGTAGTTATCTGAAGTCTCCATCCAGACGGAAGAAAGAAAAAAGGGGGTGGAATTGTGATACTTGAAACTATCACTGGAAGGGGGGTTGATTGGGTGGGACTACTGGGGAACCCCTTAAAACCTTGAATGGGAGAGCTTGGACCCCAAGTCCTGTCTAGCATGCCTGCAACCATTTTCTCTTAATAAAGGATTCCTGTTGGAAGGAATTCTTAAGATGCAAAGTGGGGTGGGTCCTTACATTTCCCTTGGCTTTCCCAGGTGGCTTATCACCTCCTCATTTCTGATCTTGTCAACCCAGCTTATTCGTAACAGCCGCCTGTAAATCCATTTCAAATGTTTCTAGTCTCTTCAGGTGGCCTTCTCTCTACTCCATGGAGCAGGATAGAAAAAATATAGCATCTGACAAGCCTGACTTTCAGTCTTAGGCTTATGCCGTGACTGCAGAAGACCTTTTTCATTTTGAAGAATGCTGTTTGGGCTTTTTCTATCCTTGTCTTTACTTCAACGGTCATGTCCCAGCTTTCATGTAAATTGGAGCCAAGGTGTGTGATCCTTTCAACTTTTTCTAGTGGTATTCCTTCTGAATTTATTGGTGGTAAATTAACGGGTTGTTTGCTGACGACCATGATCTTGGTTTTTGAGGTGTTAAGCTTCAAGCCATATTTTTTAAATATTTCCGTGTTGATGAGGAGCTGAAGGTCTTCATTCTTACTGGCAAGCAGAACTGTATCGTCAGCATTTTGTTGATCCAAATACTGTTTACTTTGATGCCAGCATCGATGTTCTCCAGTGCCTCGTTGAAGATTGACTCAGAGTAGATATTGAACAACAGTGGGGACAGAATACATCCCTGTCTGACCCCTCTTCTTATTTCTGCATCAGCTGAGTATTTTTGGCCTAGTCTCACATTTGCTACCTGATGCCAATACAGACTCTTTATTATTTGGATATCTTTGTCATCTAGTCCTCTTTGTTTCAGGATTTCTAATAGTTTGCTGTGTCTTATTTTATCAAAAGCTTTTTCAAAATCAATAAAGCACATGTAAACACTGTGACTGATATCACTACAACGCTGTACAAAAACCTGAATGCTGAACAGCACATCTTGTGTACCAAGATTGTTTCTGAAACCAAATTGTGTGTTACCTAGACGCTCTTCAATTTTGTTGTATATTCTTGCGTGAATTATTCTCAGGAATATTTTCAGAGCACGACTCATTAAGCTTATTGTTCTGTATTCAGTACACTTCTTTGCATTTATTTTTGGGGGGATTGTCACAAAGGTTGATTTTAGCCAATTATTTGGTATCTTTCCTGTTTCATATATCTGATTGAAGAGCTGCAGTAAAAAATTCTTCCCATTGTCTTCCAGCAATTTTAAAATTTCTACTGGGATATCATCAGGTCCTGTGGCTTTTCTTGTGCTTGCTATTTTTATTGCATGTTCAACCTCTTCCATAGTGATATTTGGTCCAGTTGTTATACTTCCCATATCTATATCATCCCTAGTGTCCTCGAAAAGTTCTTCAATATATTCTTTCCATCTTTTTAGTTTTTCATCCTCATCTAAGATAATTTCCCCCTCTTTGTCAACTAGGTTGTTGGTTTTCTTTCTGTAGAGGCCTGCTGCTTCTTTCACTTTTTTGTGTAAATTGAAATTATCATGTATACGTTCTGTCTCTTCTATTTCCTTGCATCTCTTTGTAAACTTTTCTTTTGCCAGTCAAATTTTTCTTCTAATTGTTTTCTGCAATTCATTGTATTTTTCTTTGTTTTTATTTATATAAGATCTTCTTTCATCCATGAGATGAAGAATTTCCTCCGTCATCCACTGTTGTTTCTTGTGGTACCTTCTCTCTGTTTTGAATTTGTTACCTCTACTATTGCGTTTTTGAATTTATTCCAGTTCGCTTCTACATCATCATCATTCAGGTTGTTGGTTTCCCTTAAATTATTTTCTAGTTCTTCTTTAATCTTACCTCCATGTTTAATGATGAAGTCTCTGTCAATTCTTGGTTTAGCAGGGTTCGGGTTTTTTATCCTTTTTAGTTTCAGCTGGACTTCAGAAAGTAGTAGATTATGATCGGATGGTACATCTGCACCTGAGTATGTCTTTACTGATTTTACTGAGTTTCTAAATCTTTTGTTTATTGTAAAATAATCAGTTTGGTTCCTTACTACATTATTTCGTGTATTTGCTGGTGATCTCTAAGTATAGAGGCATCTTTTTGGCAACTTGAAAAAAGTATTCATCACACATTGCCTATGTTCCTTGCAGAAGTCCACAAATCTGTCACCTCTACCATTTCTGGTTCCTAAGCCAAAGTTTCCAACTACAGGAGCATCATTTCCTTCTCCTGCTTTTGCATTGAAGTCCCCCATGAGTATTGTGATATCATTACTTTTTAGGGTTTTCAGTACATTGCTTCTATTTTCGTAGAACTTCTCTAAATCCTCCTCATCGCTGTCAGCTGTGGGAGCGTAAACTTATATAACATTCATATTTACTGGAGTACTATTTATTTGGATTATTATCACTCTATCAGATACAGGAATAAAGGACTTGATGCATTTATTTACACGATTGTTTACAATTATACTGTAGCTACTCTATTTCGATGGTGTTTGCTATTCTCACCAGTAGTAGATAGTATAATTTCCTATTCTACACATTCCATTTTCAGGCCAGCGCATTTCATTCACTCCCAATATACAGATATTGTATTTGGACATTTCTTGGATAGTGTTGTGTGTTTTCCCAGCTTCGTATAGGCTTCTCAAATTCCATGTACCAATTTGTAGTTTTGGGTTTATCATGCTTTTAGTGGACCGGGAGATTCTTAGCATCCCTGTCTAAGAGTAAGGAGTGCCCGTACTCGGGGCCATTTTTAGGTTTTGCCACCATTAACATGATTTTCCTGTGAAATATATATTGTAGTAGTCTTCCCTTTGCTTTCTACACCGCTGTGCACACGCTGTTCAAGTGGCTGCCACCACACCGTGTACTGTTCTTCTGAATCCATTCCAACCAATATGGTCTCTGCCTTCAGTCGATACTGGGGAGCCAGCTGCCACTCACTAGGCCTGTTGGTCCACGGGAGATATTTGATTCCCTCCAACTCGCCATTACAGTATAAAGCCATAATGGGTAAGGCCCCCCAATCTGCCACCCGGGGACGCTCTTAGGCTCCCCCTAAGAGACAGCAATATCTGCAAGACTGAAATTGGCAGCATTTGAGAGGCTTATTTTTGTGATTCCAGTAACATGAACTCACCCCAGTTCATGTCACTGGGGGGGCATTTTGAGTACTCTGCAACAGGGTGAGCTCCTGTCCTCATCCCACCTCCTACCTATCTAGCAGTTCAAAAGCATGCAAATGCGAGTAGATTAATTTACTGCTGTTAATTAGTGTTCCGTGTGACTTTGGCGCATAGCCATGCTGGCCGCATGACCACGGACAAGGCTGGAGAAATGGAAGGAGACCGGCACCTCGGAGTCAGACAGGAGTGGACAAAGAAACCTTTACCTTTTTGCTTCTTTGCCTGTATCAGTCAGCAAAAAGGAATAGGGGGAAGAACCTGGGATTATTAGATCTACAAGGGATCGTGTATATCTGCGGGATAAAACAGCACCATGGAAGCTTATTTATTTTCTTATTTCTTATGAAATTTCTGGTATTCCCCACCCCCCACCCCATACTGGCAGTGAGAGAACCTGGATCCCTATGGAGCGGCCCCGGGGGCGCCCTCTGGCGGCCATCAACGGTACTTCCCGCCCAGCCTTCAGTGCCAAAGGTACATGACACACACACACACACACACACACACACCCCACGCCCATTCAGCCTCCAACCCAGCGGTGGGCAAACGATTTTATCTCCGCCACGCCACAGAGGGAAGGGGGCGAGAGAGGTCCCTCCCTTTTCAGCTCAGCCCCAGCAGCCCGGCCACCCACTTCCTCACCGGCCCCGCCTGCTTCTTCTGCTCCCGCATCCAGCTCTTGAAGTCTGTACAGGCCCGGCAGGGCGGCTTCTTCGGCCTTTTCTCCTCCGACGGCGGCTCCTCGTTCGCGGGATGCTCGCTCGGAGAGCCCGGGAAGGGGAAAGCGCGCCCCGAGCTGGGACTGGGCGCCGCCATTTTGCCCGCGCGCAAGGGACGCTGGGCCGGAGGGGGCATGCCTAGGCATGGACCGCCGCCGTTACCATGGCGATGGGGGAGCGGGGGATCGGATGCAGAAATTGAGCATCCCCGACCCGACCGAGCCAAAAGCTCCTTTTAATGGCGCGGCAGAAGGCCTGGGCTTAGGCTTTCAGGGAAAATTGGAAAGTCTTTCTCAGAGGCAGAACTTTCTGTGGCTTTACAGACCAGTTAGTGCTGTGATTTGCTGGTTCAGCGAGTTTTGAATTAAAAACTCCTCCAGGACCATGCCCAGGGGTTGGCATCATGCTTTGAAAAGTTCGGATTTAAGGTTCAGATGATGTATCGGCTCCTAACACGTTGATGTTGAAGTGAAGAAACCCATCTTGCAAGCTCTGCTATTCCCTACTTGCATCCTGAGGTTGTATTTAAGTGCAAAAATAGCAGAGTTGGTATCACAAGACTTGGAAAGCCGTTTCTTCACTTGTAGATCCCTATGGATTCAGAGGGCAGCAAGGGTGAGCAAAGAACGGAGGGCCTGAGACCCCAACCTTGAAAGTACTTCATTTAAAAAGGAACCTATTCTTTTCAATTCTTTTCAGTCTGCTTTTGTCTTGTCTGCATAGAAACTCAGAACAGGAAACTGCCAGCAGCTTAGCTAGATCAGAACAAGATCTGCACGCCTGATAAGGAACACTGAAAGCAGATCCTACAGAGAAACCAGAGCTAAATGCACAGGATGCGGTTAGAGCAGTATCTAGAAGCTTGTTGCAGCTTTGGCTGAGGGCCAAGCAGGGGTCTAGGTGGTATAGGTCATGCTAAGAACATCTAAACAGCACAACTTGTACGTGTGGTGTTCTACCCTGAATCGCATTACTTATACACCTGCTATATTGATAAGAAATTTGTAACCAATCATGGTATTGCTGTTCTGAATTTCCTGTATCTTGAGGTATAAAAATAGAATGCCACTCCTGCTCAGTACTCCTCCCAGCTTCTTTGCTAGCAGAGAGTCCCTTTGCTTCTGATCAGAAATAAAGTGATAAATTTCCACTTTCCTCGACCCTACATTACTGTTTGGCTCTTACACTGGGTAAACAAATCCCAGACTTTCTCTTGGCCAACAGAACCAAAAAGAAGATTTAGGGAGATGAGTATGAGTAGCCTTGAGAGGGCCATTGCAGGCAAGCTGGATGAGGAATCTGTTAGCACTCCTTGAGTACTTAAAAGGTCATCCAGGAGGTTAGCACCAGATTTCTTTCATTCTAGAATGAAGGATCCAGGATAATGGATTTAAAGTACAGGAAGGCATTGTCCACTTGAATTCCTAACAGACCAATTGGATAATAAATGACCCAGAGGTGAGGGGGGGAGAGACTGCTCTCTGCTGGAGGTGAGGCTTTGGGTTAGCATGTATTGATGTCAGTGATCAAATTAGCAATTCCAGTTTCAGAAATTTGTGGTTGAGCTCATGCAGTATGCCAGCACTGCATGTGGTTTACATGGTTTTAGCTTAGCTGTGTGTCAACCAAGGATTTAATGGCTGGCGGATATGGTCTGATCCCAACCAGTTCACTTACTAGTATTTATCAAATTTCAAAATCGCCTATCTCCCTCATAAAGAGACTCTATAAGAACCCTATCCAGGTGGCTGTAAACAATGGTTTTCAATTTAGCTTGTCATAAATTTGTTACAAAGAAAATTGTAGAAAAGAATATAGAAAGACAAAAAAACAAACAAACCAGGAATTCCAGTGTGAACAAAAATAATAGAAGGGGGATTTTATTTTGCATATATTTTTGGCAGAAGTAATTACATTTTAAATCTTAAATTATTCATTTAGGTTTTTTTAGGTGTTCAAGTTAAAACAACAGTCTTGTAAAATGTATGTGGTATTTTGTTTTTCCTCTATGTTTGCTTGTCAATTATTTCCCAAAATCAAGCAATGGCTGGTAATGATTCTTGTATTTTCCTGTGGGCATTTCAATTTCTCTACGCATCTTACAATGCCTTATGGTACAGTCTGCTGGAACAGTTGTAATACAAGTACTTATTTATAATCCCTGTTTATAATATCACAAAATACTCTAATTAGCATAAATAATTATATTTCATTAATGCTACAACATGCAGGCTATTTATTTTGGATTAGCTCCTTCATTAAAATAGTTGAATTTCTTTTGTACATGGATCTTTTTCATAAGGCAACTAGAGTTTCTTGTTTTTCCTCTGAAGATGTTTCGCTTCTCATCCAAGAAGCTTCTTCGGCTCTGACTGGATCCCCACCATCCAGTCAGAGCTGAAGAAGCTTCTTGGATGAGAAATGAAATGTCTTCAGAGAAAAACAAGAAAGTCCACTTGCCTTGTGAAAAAGCCTGTTTGGGACAACTATGACCTGAATGACTGAGAATCTCCATAGACATTTGCTCATGGATGCTCCTTAGAATAGGGCTGGAAGAGACCTTGGAGGTCTTCTAGTTCAACTGGCTGCATCCTGGACAAATGGCAATGCAATCTTTTCTTTGAGATCACCAGTGATGGAGCACCCACAACTCTGGGAGGTAATCTGTCCCTAGTTTGGGTCAGTGTGTCCTGGAGCTGATTCTACATATGTGGTTACTAAGAGCTGACACCAATTTCATGGAATATCAGCATGTTTTGCAGAAAAAATTGCCTACAAGGAAGAACTTTTGAAGTTCTTTCATGATTATAAACAGGAGATACAGTTCAAAAGCATGCTAATTTAACAAACTTAGAGACAGTTTAGGAAGGATTCCATGGATGAAATCTTAAAGGGGAAGACAGCTCAAGAAGCTGGGAAATGTGAAAAATATGGTTATAAAAGCACAGTCCAGTACAATACCATTGAAACAGAAAAATAAGAAATCCAAGAAGAAACCAGCATGATTGCATAAAGAACTCTGTCATAAACTGAAAGACAAAAAAGATAAGTATAAAAAATGGAAACAGGGACACATAACTAAGGCAGAATACCAGCATATAGCCCGAATCAGCAAAGATGAAATCAGGAAAGCTAAGGATCAGATTTGCAAACAAATGTCCAAAATAATAAAAATAATTGTAGTGTTACCCCCTCAGAGGCTGACAAAGCCCAGGCTCTCCCAGCTCCACTCCCCTCCATCGCGCTCTGCAGCTGCGCTCTCAAGGTGTTAGTAAAGTGTCTTTTCTAGCAGAAACTCACGTGAAGTGAGGAGTTGGCAGACTCTCATCAGTAACGGGGGGGGGGAGCTTTCAGGAATAAAGATGTCCAGCCCCTAGCCCCAATAGTCGATGCATGATGGTGTTTAACAGCCCCAGGCAGTCATAGTCAATGATTTCACAGCGACCGTTTGGAAACAAGTGGGGTAGGGAAAACACCGGCTCCAGGCAGCGATAGGAACATGAACGAAGGTAGTCAGAGTTCTGCAGTAACAGCTCGCCCTGCAAGGGTAACTCCATACAATGTCTATAACTTGCACAAGTAACAGTAATCAAAGCTCGGATGGCTGCTAGTCTCCAAAGCAGTAACAACCAGCCTCTCCTTCTCTTCTGTTGTTGCTCACAGTCTCAGGTCTTGTCGGTGTCAAAACCCCTCCCCTTTTCCTTTAATGTTAAAATCTGAATTTAGCAACCCCAGCAACTTTCTCTCTCCTCACTCTCTCTCTTGCCTCCGTTAGGGGATATCCCCTCTGTGAAAGAAAGCAGTAAAATTCCACTTTCTCACTTTCTCTCACTCTCTCCTTCCCTCTTCTTCACAGAAAGCGATCAAGTAAAACCTCAAATCCCTCTTCGACTTCACCTGGTCTCTCTCCGGCAACAGCAACCACCCCACCCCCTTTCTTTCCTTCCTTTTCTTTCCTTCCACCCAATCCACGGCTGCGCCCAAAACCGGCAGCAGCTGTCTGAGCTCCCCTCTCCCCAGGCAGGCTCCTGCAAAGCCTTTCAGCCAGCCCTGCTACATAATAATAAAAAGTGTCTTTCAACATGTAAAAAACAAGAAGAAAGTCAAGGAAACAATCAGTTCACTAATGAGAGAAAATGGCAAGGAAGTGATGGGCAGCAGGGAGAAAGCAGAACTTTCATTCTTTGCATTTGTCTTCACGCAAAAGAAAAAAATATCCCAACCTATCAAAACCCTAATTTGAATGCAAATTAAAATAGGCAAGGAAATGGTAAGAGAACACCTGTCTACCCTAGATGAATTCAAATCACCAGGATCTGATCATTTACATCCCAGAGTTCTGAAGGAGTTGGCAGATGTAATCTCGGAATCATTGAACCATATGTTTCAAAGATCCTGGAGCACTGGGGAACTACCAGAGAAAAGTAGAGAAGGGAACTAGGGGATTAGCCATTTTGGATCTAATTCTCACTAACAGAGATGAAATGATAGAAGGTGTTGAAACCACAGGAACCTTGGGAGGAAGTGATCATGCAATATTGGAATTCAACATTATGGAAGCACAAGCAATTGAACATAGCCAAACTAGAGTCTTGGACTTCAAGAGAGCTAATTGCAATAAAGTTAGAGAGGGCTTGGGAAGGATTCCATGGTTGAGAATCCTCCAGGGGAAAACAACGCAAGAAGCTTGGGAAATTTTGAAAAGCAAGATAATAGAAGCCCAGTCTAGCTCAATACCAACAAAGAGGAAAAATAACAGCTCTGAAAAGAAACCAGCATGGCTGCATAAAGAACTCTCTGACAAATTGAAAGATAAAAAGGACAAGTATAGAAAGTGGAAAGGGGCACATAACTAAATCAGAATATCAACAAATAGCCCGAGCCTGCAAAGATGAAGTGAGGAAAGCCAAGGCTCAAAATGAACTAAGGCTTGCGACCAAAGTCAAAAATAACAAAAAAAGCTTCTTTCAACATGTAAAAAACAAGAAAAAAGTGAAGGAAACGATTGGTCCATTAGTGGGTGAAAGTGGTAAGAAGGTGATTAGCCATAGGGAGAAAGCAGAACTATTTAACTCGTTTTTTGCATCTGTCTTTACACAAAGGGAAAAAACAGACCAACCTA